ATATATATATATATTTTTTTTTAAATGAAAATGGATATAACAAAAATTAAATAGCATAAAATTGTGCTTCAGGTTTTTGAAACTAAAAAGCCAGGATTTCAGGCTACCTATATATATATATACAGGACCTGAAAGCATCATATTTAGAGAAGCAGTTACCCAGTTGTTCATATATCCACACTATGCATATATTGGAACATTTGAAACTTTTACAACTTCATCAATCTATGTAAACTGTTTCTGAAATATAACTCACAATTATAAAACAAATGCATAAAGAACAATGCACGAAATACAAACCCACCAAGTTTCAAAAATATATCCCAATTCTTTCCATTGAAAATTAACAATTACTCTCTTCTCCATTCAGTTCCAGGTAGCTGATGACAAGTGTCTTTGTAGACCTAACTTATTTCTTCACTGTTCTCTCATTTCAAAACATATGCCATGATTGTCAAGATTTTAAACAGGTAAATACAAACTAGAAACTGAAATCATCAAACCTGTTTACAACAGCAATAATAAACATCTACAATGTTGTAAAATAAGATGACATTCTTACACAGATGCTATAAACAGTATATCATTCCAATTGTATCAAATACTGGAAACTGTTTAACTTTTCTGGTGGCTTTGTACTTATAGTTCCCAAGGCTTTGGTGGCTAATAATAACTAATTTGTACTTATATATACACACACACACACCACCTTCCAATACTTTCTCCTCAGACTTTCACTGATCTCAAAAATGACACCAGTAACTTAAAAAACAAATTCTAAGAATCCATGGAAAATTCATATCCATGATTTGTAGCACTAAATAGTTACATTAGTCATATATATAACCTATCATCATATAATGAAAAAAATTACCTCATAATATTTGGCCATACGAAGAACATTTTCTAGTATAGACGTATCCTGTAAAGATGCAGTTTCCCAACCTTTGTTTACAGCACCAGTAATAATTTTCATTTCACACTCTTCACAAGTAAATAAACACATCATCCCCAACAGCAAAGCTCCATGGTACGGCTATAGAATATTACAAACATTTTAACCATTTACAGAATTCTCAAGGGTAAGTGTAATATAGACAAACAAAAGTGTAATATAACTAATGTAGGGGGCTAGCTAACAATTTTTTTTCTGGGTTGCTCACTCTTGGATAACTATTAAAAAAATCTTGTTCACATAGTTTTGTTGTTAGTTGAAATGGTTCTCAAGTCAATACATTATTATGAATATTTTTTTTAAATGTTTAATTGATTTTTAAGTTATTAAGTAAGTTTCAGATATAAAAAAGTGTCCAAGTAAATACAGGTTCTAAAAGTAGAAAAGACAATAGTGTAGCAATAGTAAAATGTTAAAAATCACTTGAATGCACAAGAAGTGGAAGTACAAGATTCAGAAGACATTATTAAAAAAATAAACATAAAAGCAAAAAATGCAATATCCTATTTTATTAAGACTCTTCGAGTGATTAAGAACCAATGAATTATTGAGAGTTATGCAATTTATCTGTCATCCAGAGATAAAAAATAGAAGAAATGTCTTTTCTTAAACTGCAATACAAAATAACACCTTTGATATCACTGCTAGAAATGATTTACATGTATAGCAAGATAATCATCAACATTTGATATCTAATAAGCTGTATTTCAAATCTAAACATGACACAAACACAAGGTTACTCGTAAATGCTCAAATATTTAAAGTGAAATCTATATTACCATTAAACTAAATAGCTATTGAAATGAATTTTAGAACAATACAAACTAACTGCATGACATGAGACATCTTTCCAGTAACCCTGTACCAAACTTGTGTAAACAGCTGACACAACTACATTTTCCATTTATGAAATAAGGCCATAAGCAAAAATTAAAAATACTTTGTCAAAACATTGAGTGATTATTTTTTTATATCATGTTAATAATGAAAGTCAATTGTAGAATAACTTATATAAGGAAAAAATACTATATATATATAAAAGCTAAGATATGGTTCAAGTATAAAAGCTGACACATTATAAGTTACCAAACAAAATTAAAAAAAATGTATATGTAAATATGACACTAATTTCTGAGATCTTTCATTGCATTTAGACATCATGCGCACAAAACATCAAAGGAATATTTGAAAACTTTTACAACACAGAACAAAGAAAAATTCAATTGTACATCAACAACTACTAATGCTAGCTGACGTACTTATTCCATGCAGTGAAAGACAAAGGAAGGTCAAATCTGAATGCCAATCCTCCATGTCACTCCCTGGGGATCCCTAAGATTGCATGGCATGATTAGTGACAATCAATCCAACAGTTTGCCAGTTATAAGAGGTCACACACGGACTTTTATCAAATAACAGATTAAAGGCATACAGGTATGTGGCATGCAAACTGTGGTGGATGTGCACTTTATGTATCATAAACATGCTTTTCAACTACTACTTAAAATTAAATATAGGTAAACTTTTTATAGTAACAAACTATATGGAATACAATATCTATAGTAGTACTGCAATCGATTAATTTGGAAACCTGAAATGATAAATTCTGTCATTATTTAATATTGATATTTCAGTGTTTACCTTATTCATATTGCTGGGAGATTTCTTTAAAGTCTGCTGTTCTTTTCCAGCAGATGACATCATACCACAGATAACTAAAGTGTTCCCTGAAATTGGATCAAGATTATGGTGAGCTGCAATCTCAACTGCATTATTCACTGCGTTTCTGTACTGTTCCAATAGGCGACGGTCAAAGTTTTTCATTCTATATAAACAATAAAACATCCCATAATTATAAACACAAATGAGCTTGAAATCCTCAAAAATTAACAAACCATGTGAAGTTTTTACGGCATAAACTGAATTTATTTCTTACACTACAGTCAAAATAATGTTGATATGGTATTGGCTCTCTCAACACGAGTTTGGTCAATTTGACCGACCATGTGACCTCCTTGTACTCAATTAAAGTCTTTATAGATTTAATACTTCTAACTTTCAAAATAATGTGTATATCTTCACAAAATCTGGCAGTCTTTCAGTTCATATTATAAGTCTTTGACATACAAAAAAATCATATTTTTTAGTGAAGTATTTTTAAGTATTTGTCCATGAATGTATCTAGAATTTGTTTTGAATAGTCTGTGTGCAAAGTAATTTTCATGTTAAAATCAAAAATACTTTTCCTCATTTCAATAAACTTTTTTTTTCAGTAAAACTTTACAATTTATTTGTTATTTTCTCTACCCTATCTCAAAACGGGATCAGTCAATTCGACCAGCCTTGTAACCACAAAAAAAAATCGAAATACACCTAAATTACCCTTTTTTTCTTTCTAGTATGACTTCGAATTATAACATGAAATTACATTCGTTTATCATAAGTAGCTCTAAGTTCATAACAATATACATTTATAATCAAAGTTTATTGTTTTATTGCCCTTTGAACCATGTCTAACTACTATCCGCACCATTATAAGTTGTAAATCACTCGGGGAATGTGCAGCTTACGTTACACTATCGAATTTCATTACCCACAAGCTGCTTGCATGCATGCCTCGTGAACCATTTTAATTATATTATTATTATTACTTATTTTACCTAATCTAGTCTTAAATATTTTAAAAATATCCATATTTTTAGATTTTAGTTACTTTTATAATAATAAATAAAGAATAAATATTAAAAACAAGAAATAAAGTACTTACATAATCTTCTTTTTTCTTTCTCTCGATTGTCGAGGACAATTAAGCCTAATTTTTTATGCTAATGCTAGTAATGCACTTGATAATTTTTATTTAATTAAATAATACACCAAAGAATATAGACTAATAACATGAAAAAGTAGACAAATTCACTTACCTCTCAAAATTTTCCTGGCTTTCTAACTGTGTGACAAGAGTCGTTACAAATTCATCCAAGCTAGTTGTTAACTTTCCCATGGGAAAGATGTTGCTACTCTGAATGACACTGAATATTCTGTGTTCAGAACACAATGGCATACAATACGTCATTTGATAGGAGAAAATCTTGACTTCCTATTGGTTATAGGTAATATATAATGAAACGTAAGAGAGAACTATCAACAAATTCTTAAAGAGAGGATGTGACAGAAGGATGTGGCAGGAGGGGTCTGATTTTCTATTCGATAGCTCTGTAACCAAACAAAATTGAAGGCTATAAAAATTATGGTTTGTTTGAGTAATAACAATTTTACATAGAGTATTTTATGTTTAATTTTGTATTTTTTTGAGGGGTAGTGGTGATAGGGTTAACAGAGTACCCAAAGTTGCTTGGTTGAAAATGGCTTTAACTGATCTAGTTCTTTATTTACATGCTGATTTATTTATCTACTGTAACTCTTCTTTGCACACAATATTTTTTTGTCTTGCTGTCAGGAGCAAAGAAGAGATTATTTTCATTTATAAAATTTCTCTTGATCACGCATTCCCCAAAAAAAACTAGCCTTTTCAATTTGAGACAAACTGGTCATCCTGTTTGCCAAAAATTGCTATACTGGTTACTTTGGCCTCAAGTTGCAGCCTATAAGGCCATGGCCACATAGCCCACGTTACTTCCCTCACAAAATAGTATCTGTACCCCGAGTTTGGAGCTTTAAAGATGTGGCCATGCATAAGGAACAAACCCACAGAGAGAGAAAGAAAGAGAGACATTTGAGCTTATACATACGTTTATTTTGTCTGTTCACTAACCTCTTTGATATTTTTTCCTGTTGTTTGATTTTCCATTTAGGAGGAGTTTTCATTGATTTCAGTGATTTGCAAGTTACAAAAGATGGATTTTTCTTAAGATTACTGTTCTTCAGTAACTTCTCCAGCTCACTTATTGCCTGGTATGCAGAGAAAAACTGAAGTGGAAACTGACGACTTTTGATAACGGCATCCTAAAATATGTGAAAAAAAAATTATATGATCTATAAATTGTAGATGCAAATACTGATTTAAATAATTAACATCTAATTAATTAAAAAAATATTGAAATAAAAACACATACTGGCTGATTTAGTTCACCAATTCTCTAACTCTGAACAGTAATAGTTACTACTATGATTCTTCATAAAGTAATAAATAAGATTCAAAATAACATCTATAGCTATAAGTAATCCAAGAGGGTGAATACATCAGAAAAACTTTCAGAGCTAAGTGTCCAACTACGATAACATAATCTGAAGCACGTTAAATCAGAGCCACAACCTCCTGAAGCACCCATCCATCTACACACACACACACTTAAGCTACAATAATTATTATAAAATCAAGTGTGTTAAACTGTTATCTGCTTCCAAACTATTAAAAACTCTTTTTGCAATGGACAAAACATTTTTATTCTAAACAACAATGTGTAGGAAAAAGAGAATGAAATTTGGTAAAATGTTAGACAAATACAAAGATATATAAGAAGCTAACTTTGTTAACAATTTGTCTGTTTTTATTTACGAGATTGATCATCACATTATAATGTCCTCTATGGCTAGAAAGTTGAGCATGTTTGGTGCCAGGTTTTGATCCTGTAACTTGCAGATTGTTAGTCAAGTATTCTAGCCACCAAGCCATGCGAGCCCTTGATAATGGTCAATAGTCCTTTAATTTTGGCTACAAAATTAATTCAGTAGACTACAGAATCATCAAAACAAAAAATTATACAACTTTATCTTGACCATCCAAAGGAAGCTTATAAGAATAAAAAACAAAAAACAATATACTGAGACAATTTATGAAATAATAAGCAAAAGAAAAGTCAATTGTTACTATATGTTAATTTTTAAGTATCTACAAAAACTATAAAATCAAGAAGATCTGAAATGCTCATAAATCTTTGCGATAAACGGAAACAACTCAAATGGCTCAAAAAGTAATCTTGCAATTAAAAATTTTTTCAGCTGAGATATACAAGGTTTCCTGGGCTTTTAATGTTCATCAACTAAGTATTTTAGTTTTTGGATAAACCGATCCCCCTTCATTTCTGAATTAAAGCCTCAACAATAAGTTTTCTCCCAAATAAAAACAACATAGCAAACACAACGTTATGCACAAATTGTAGGGCTATGGCTGGAGATGAGCACGAAACACAATTTTTTAGCTTAATTGTTCATTACACGTATAGATTATTAATAATATCCTTATTTACAGTTTTAGTGGTTATCCTATGACCTATGTTCATCAATAACTCTGGTAATACTGGAACCTTACTTCATTGGATATTTTCTGTAGAACCTTTCTGTGATGAGATTTTGAAATTCCAACCACCAGCAAATTTCTCAAGTTGCGTAACATTGCCATGTACGGTAGCTTATTATGGTCTGTAATAAAGAAAAAGGATATACAAGTTATAAAGAAATGTTTCTTTAATTTATATTTTAATAAGTTGTCTTCTAATAATAATTAGTTTATTCTTTTTTTTTTAATTCTAATCATATCAATGAGTACATGAAAGAAGAAAATATCAAAAACAACATTGCTTATATTATTATTGATACTAATCTCTAAGTTATATTTATAATTATTCATCTTGAGACATTAATATTTTTCTTTATGATAAAAATGTAAAACAAATGATTCAAATTTAGTTTGCTTGGCAATGCTATATTAATACAAATACATAAAAAGTGAACAAAACACTGACCAAACCGGCTAAACAAGTTAAAGCAAAGTTTGTGAAGATTAGGAATTACTCAAATATAAAATAACCATGATAGTAAAACAGAAACTTGGTTTATAGGTCACTGAAGACTGTTTCATCCTAATTTTCTCTCTATCACAGCTTTTTAAACCAGCTTCATATTCACAGATTTTGAGTTATTGTAGACTTGTCTAAGGTGAGTTATCTCTAGTTATATTTGACCAGAATAATTATAAATACTGTAAACATAGAGGAATTATTATTAATACACAATATTTCTGGTGTTCCTTAGGAAAAAAAAACCTCTGACAAATTCTGATATTAGAAGAAAGATATTCAGACCAGTGACTAACACTGTGTGATTAATTTACTTATTTGTGAGCACTGATTACCCTGACTAGTATCATGTAAAATAATCCATTAATCAAAGTTACAATTAAATCGATTAATGGCATAAAAACAGCCAAACAATTGAAGTTACTGTTCCTGATTATTACTTTCTTCAGACTATCAAAATATTGCCATTATGATTTCTCGTTATTATTTTTGATTAATTTCATCTTATTCAACTAAAGTTATTGGTGTCACAACTCTCAAAAATTATCAACTAATTAAAATTAGATAGTTGGAATAATTGGAAACATCAAGTAAACAAAATTTCCATGGGTATTTCAATTGCATAACCTCTAGGACTTCCTAAATGAATATCAAGTTTCTTCAGTAAAATATAAAAGTATACAGGGTGTCCATAAATTAACTGACCCATTTTAAAAATTAATAACTTCAAAAATATTATAGTTAGAACACTCCGGTTTTATATAACTTGATGTAAAAGTCATAAAGATTTTTCTCTTTTCTGTTGCAGATCCATTTGTAGTAGCACTGCTAGAAAAGAGAAAAAGTGAAAAAAAAAGAAATGGCAACACCTCAGGAAAAGGTGCAGTGTGGGTTTTCGTTTGCTGAATCCAAATCAATCGTGTCATTGCAACTAAATTACAAACGCATTTATGAAAAAAACCACCAATCAAAAATAACATAAAACTTAGTCTGAAAAATTCCTAGCAACTGGTAGTCTGTTAGAACAAAAGAGATCTTGATGTTCAAGTGTATCTGATGCAACAGTTGATCATGTGCAAGAGGTAACAAATGTTGCACATGTGGAAGAAAAGAAAAACTTTATGAGTTGTTCATCAAGTTAAATAAAACTGGAGTGTTCTATTCATAATATCTAATTTTTGAAACAGGTTAGATAACTTGTAGATGCCCTGTATTTTATCTTTTATTTTTTCTACACTTACACTAACTTTATCAAAACCCTCAATGCAAAGTAAAAAAAAGAGTTGAAAAATATGAAAAAAAAAAGA